CCCCGAGCGCCCCCGTTGCCTGCTGATCAACAAGATGGAGGAGGAGAAAGCACAAGCAGGTGAGAACTCATCTCTGAGAGGCAGAGCTGTACTCTGGCTCGTAGCCTGCACTGAACTTGAGTGGGAGGCCAGGACTGACTCTGGAGCCCGTGGTGCATCAGGGTGTGACTCCTGGAGGGCACCAGGTCTCTACCCTCCCACCTGGCACCAGTGCCAGAAGACATGAGAAACCTGGCATCCCAGTAGACTCAAGGTGGGGTTAGGGAGTGAGGAGTGGCACCTGACCTGCTGGGGTGTAGCAGGGCCAGCTCCTGCAGCTCTGTCAGCTTCTGCTGAAAGCCAGAACATCTGACATCTAACAAGCAGCTTGGAGGGTGTTTCCCTCTCCTACTGCAGAGGACTGGAGTCAGCTGTGGCAAGTGTGTGAGCAGAATTAGGGATTGAATGTAAGTCTGGACGTGAAGCAATGTGGGCAGTGCCTGGTTATTGAGCTGATTACAGCAGCTCGGCTTCGGGTTGAAGAAATGAGCAAGACTGCATGGAGAGGCTTTGTCTTTCATGCAGCAGGCCCAGGCACTGACTGGCAGGTGGTCCAGTTTTTCCAGTGGGCCCTCCTGAAATAGCAGGGCAGGGTGGGGGTAACCTCCTGGCTGCGGGTGTATTATACCTGGCATTTTTTGATTCCTCCCTCCAGTTCTCCAGAAGCTCCGTGGTATGCAAGATGTGTCTCAAGACATCCTGGAGATGAAAGAAGAGAGTGCTAAGATGTCCCAGGAAAAGAAAGCCACAATACCAGAGCTCTTCCGTTCTCCAAACTACCGTCAAGCCATTATCATTGCCATCATGCTGCAGCTCTCCCAACAGCTCTCGGGCATCAATGCTGTGAGTTATCTCCCTGTCCCCTCTGCTGGGCCTCCCTCATCTCTAGCTGCACTTGCCACTGATGTTGAGAACTGTGCTTCCAAAAAACCCCTTTTTGCACCTTAACTGGAGGCTGCTGTTTTGTGATAAATGCAGAGATTGCTCAAGTGAAAGGTGGAGGTTATATTGGCTTTCACTTTACCCATACACACCCTGGAAAGGCATCGCAGCTTTGCATCAAGTGAATGAGCCTTGATTGGAAGCATCTTGGTTCATACTGTTGAGTGCTTCTTAGAAACTCCCTGTTGGGCCTTCAAACCGTTAGGCAGGGAACAAGAGGCATGCTCTCAAACGCTGAAATCCTGACCGTGTCCAACTCTCGCTCCTCTTCCCAGGTGTTCTATTATTCTACAGGGATTTTTGAAAGAGCTGGTATCACACAGCCTGTGTATGCCACCATTGGAGCTGGCGTGGTGAACACCATCTTCACTGTTGTGTCGGTAGGTGGAACAGGGTCTTATGGTAAGAGCTAACTTGCCTGCCTGGGATTTTTTTTGGGAGATGTGACTTAAGACAAGTAGCCAGGCTGTGGCAAAGCCTTGGGTGAGGCAATGGCCTCCGAGAGCAAAGAAAAGAATGCGTTAAAAGCGTTGTGGGAGGAGAGGAGGGGAGGAAGAGACATTGCTGTCTTTTTAGAAGAAAGGGAGAGGGTGAAAAGGAGTGCATGGGGGGAACAGAATGCTAAGGCAGTAGCAAGGACCAGAGAGAAAAAACTTTTGCCAAGGATGGAGCAACCTGGTGACCTACACTGGCATCACCGCTGGCACTGAGGGCTACAAGAAAGAGCTGCAGGGCACACTGAGCAAGGGAGCCTCTTCTGCTCTTGGTGCCAAGGTCACGGATTGTGATTTTGTTTTTTTCTCCTTCTGCCATGTTTCCAGCTGTTCCTGGTCGAGCGTGCAGGCCGCAGGACCCTCCATTTAGTTGGTTTGGGCGGCATGGCTGTGTGTGCTGTTCTTATGACCATCGCCTTAGCTCTGAAGGTGAGTAACTAGTGTTCTTGTCCAGGCTGACCCCAGCAGGGGACCTACCAGACTACGCCTCTGCCTAGCTCTGCAGTTCTGCCCTGTAGGCAGGTACAGCTGGGGCTAGAGCCGAGTGTGCCACAGTGTCCACAGTGCAGCCGAGAAAGCTGTGACATGGGAGACAGCATCTCGTGTAGTGCCACGTTTACCTCAAATTGCAGCTGAATGGTGTTTTGTTCCCTTGCAGGACATTGTGGAGTGGATCAGATACATCAGCATTGTTGCCACTTTTGGCTTTGTGGCTCTTTTTGAGATTGGCCCTGGCCCGATCCCCTGGTTCATCGTGGCAGAACTCTTCAGCCAGGGCCCGCGCCCTGCAGCCATGGCAGTGGCTGGTTGTTCCAACTGGACCTCTAATTTCTTGGTGGGAATGCTCTTCCCCTATGCAGAGGTAAGGACCCAGTTTGCAAAGCACTGTGAGAGTGCTGCATTGTTGCAATAGGTGTCCAGAGTGGTTGTAGAATCTCTGTGCTTGGAGATGACCCTTTACAACCTTGATCTCTCCTCGAAGATGTTTCTGCTTTGAACAGGGGGCTGCTTAGTCTTCCAGAGGTCCCTGACTCTGTGTTCTGGTTGTTACTGAAGGTTCAGAGTGTTGTGGCTCACCTTATATTTTGCTGTCTTAACTGCTCGTAGGTTACAGGTAGTTGGAAGAGCCATCTTAAATAGCACTTCAAAGCTTTGCTTTTTAAAAGCCTCAGGTATGGTCACCCTCAGGAACATGAAAACATTTCAGAAGCCCACAGGAGCCTGATGTCATTTTTAAAAATGCATTGTTGGAGGAAGATGTTAGAATTTTGACCTGTCAACAGCAAATGACTTTGCGTTTAGGTCTATGAGCTTTTCAAATGAAAATATTTTGCTTTTGTCCTCCCTGCAGAAACTGTGTGGCTCCTATGTCTTCCTCATCTTCCTTGTTTTCCTGGTCATCTTCTTTGTTTTCACGTTCTTCAAAGTGCCGGAGACCAAGGGCAGGACTTTCGAAGACATCTCCAGGGGCTTTGAAGGCCGAGCAGAAGCCAGCCCCACATCCCCTGTAGAGAAGAACCCCATGGTGGAGCTGAACAGCATAGAAACCGACAAAGCAGTTGCCTAAGATTCCTGAAACTCCCGTTCTTCGACTCTTGCGTGCTTAGAGAGTCATTAAAAGAATGAGCAAAGAAAACCATGAGAACTGGGACCTTTTTTCCCCCCCTTTAATTGCTGCTATTTTCTTCTTTGCACCCACATGCTCCCCCATCCTGCCGGGCTTACCAGTGTTAAGCAGATCTGATGTGGGTGATCCCGTGTTCAAGTACTGGAAGGCACCTGGCGTTTGCAAAAATTATCTCATCTTCCCTGTCACAAACATGGAGAGAGAAGAGCTGCCAATTTTTTTTGCTGTTCTCACCCGTAGTTGCTGTTTGGGGTTAACATCCTTATGCACGCAGTGACCGTTACGTGTTTGAATCTAATTACTATTTTTGTAGTGAGTTGAAGTGACCCACTCAAGTCCCCGGCCCTTTGAGTCGACTCCGTGTGCGTGTGTGCAGTGTTACACTGGGATTTAACAAGCCTACCAAAAAAAGCCATCTCCTTGCTTTTTCCTATCCAGTGTGCACTTTTTTCAGCCTCAGGAAAAAGGGGACCAAGTTACATGCATATTTTTTCCTGCTTTTATTTTTTTGTATAGACAGACTGAAAGCATACTTATACTTAAGTTTATTTATTTGTATGTCACTTTGTAAATATTTATTTTTTTAATGGTGTACAAAAGTGTACAGATAATGACATTGAAGATGTTTAAGAGAAATAGCTATTCTAACAAAAGATGCTGTAGACTTGAGGTGCAATAAGACCGTAAAGGAGAAATGTGGGAAACAGGAGAATTGGGCATTTTGGATGGTGTGTACGACAGAGCCGATTTGCACATCAGCTTTATTTGTGCCCTCTGGAAAGAAATTCAAAGAATTGCATACTAGTGAGAAGAGGTAGGTATGTATGTCCACCAGAATCTCTGGTATCTGGGGTTTTTTAGGTGGCATTTTTAAATATTTTTCGCGAGTCTGGATTGGAAAGCGTGGTATTGCAGCAAATGAGTGGTGCTAGTTTATGTTTTCAGTCATGGTTAAGCATTGTATGGGATGTTTGAGGGTAGGGATTGCAAACCAGAAAGTAACTTTTCCTTCCTTATCTTAATTTAAAAAAAAATTGGGTTTTTTTTGCCTTCTCTGCTGTATTTTAGTAGGTCAGAAAGTCTGAAATTTGCGGGTTGTTACTTAAAGGTGTGTGAGGATAAGAACTATTTTCCAAAGCTGTATTTTCATAGCAATTTTTCTTATAGATATTAGAGGTGTGTAGCATAACCCTTCTGGACATGGGCATGGTCAGTTATGGCATGTGGAAGCTCAGACAGGCAGAGGTGCAGGACTAGAGACCAGAGCTACTGGAACTCACTGGCTTAGCAGTGTTCAGATCGCTGGTTGGTTGCAGGCCAAATGATGTTTTTGCCCCATCTATCTTCTCTGGAAGATCTGCAAGATGTTTTGGTGCTCCTTAGTGCGCAGCGTGCTGCGTGGATGTGTGCAGGTCCGTAATACTGCCCCTGTTAAAGGGATATGGCAGACAGTAACAGCACACCAGTAGATGCTGGTCTCACTGCTGGGCAATCCCGAGTGTGTGTCCACCTCCCTTGCTGCTGAGTGACCATGGTGTGGTTTGGGAAGGCAGATCAAGGGGTGCTCTGCTGAGAGAGCCAAACTCCAGCCTGTGGCTGTGCAGACCTGCACGAGTTAACTAAAGGGACCACAGAGGTAGGTCCAATTTGAACTCCTGCTCTTAAGATCTTCAGTGTTTTTGGACTTGATCAGACTCAGTTGTACCTGCAAACTCATGCTGGAGTTTTTCCTCGCTGGATATCCTAGAAAAGAGGCAGGCCCACACATTTCAAGGTGGGTAAAAGAAAGAAAGGCTCAAAGGCAGGAATTGACTGTAGTATGGGTAGCCCGAGCTTTTTTAGCAACATAGTGCTTCAGAGCAGGTCAGAGAAGGTCCCACTGATGTGTGTTCTGGGGGCATGGATCCTGGCGTTTTCTGTAACTGGAGTGATGACACTTCTGCTTTCCCTAGTGAGAAACAGTTGCAAAGATGAGTAAAATTTGCTGCTGTGAAATACTTCCTGTGACTTCATTTGAAATACTCTGGCTTTGCACAACGCAGTCCCATTACATCCAGTTTTCCCCAACTTTCTATCAGGCTTCCATGCCAGATATTTTATTGTCGGAACTATTATAGATGACTTTGCCAATTTTCATTTTTTGGCTCAGTTATGCAGTTTTTTGTACCCTTCCTTTAACCCTCCTGCACTCCCAGCCATGATATTTCTATATGGGCATCTATATGTTAGGAAATTCCCCCTACAGCTGTGCATAAGAGCATTCCATACTTTGCATCAGAAATGTGTGTTGGCTTGGGCCGAAACGTGTAGGTCTTTCTCACATGGTATCTGTGTTGTTTTCTTTTTCTGTAACAGCGTTGTGAATATTTTGGATGGGTTTTATATGCTTATTAATGTGGTTGTTTCCCGTTTTTAAAATAAAAATTACAGAACTAAGTATCTGGTTTAGATTTTACCTTTTACCCTGTAGGTCTTCGGTTTTTGACTCCTTTATCACAGCCTGGGAATACATCCTTGGAATGTCTCCAACTCTGCCCTGCAACCTCTCTGGCTAATCAGCGCCCTGGATTTGCTGTTTTAGTCTAGTAGAAATGACATTCTCTTGGCCTCCATGCATATCACTTTAATAAATTTCCCTACTACTATTCTTTAGAAGGTTTTTAAAATAATGCACTGCTCTGGCTCTTGTTTGCCCAAATCCTTTTGTTTGCATCCAAATAATGTCTCTGTAACAGGACAGGAGGGAAGTGGCTGGAGGCTAGGAATCCTGCCCAGAGCTAAACCACCTGAGATTTCTGCCACTGCCCTCTTCTGAGAGTGGTCTTCAACTTCTCTGCCCTGACATTCCTGACCCACTGGCAGGTCTGTGGGGTGCTCTCACCCATGGCTCTCTTGCCTCGGGAGTGCTGAGAACCCACCTACTGCTATGGTGCAGCAAACTCTTGTTCTGTTGTGCTCCTTTCCCTGTCCTACAGGCATCTTGCAAGCCCAGGAAGTCTGTACCTGTGTTTCATGGGCAGAAACTGAGAGCAGTTGATGAAAAAGTAAGGAGATGAAATACCCTTCAGAGGAAGATGGAGGGAAGTGAGAGGAAGGACAAGATGACAGAACCCAAAGTAGTCTAGAGGAAGAACTGGGCTAATGCAGCTCCTCTGGAGTCAGCAGACTGCACAAAGTGACCAGGAAAGAGCAGGGCACAAGGTAAAATCTGAAAAAGCTCAGCATAACTCCAAGCCAGGGCCAAAGCACGAGGGGCACTGAGCCCTAAATTCATGTTTTGTGTAGTTTATGGCAACTTTTGGTTGGAGAATGAGTCTTTGCTTTAGATGTGGTTATTATATTTCTGAAAATCGTAAGGAAGCTTCAAAAGGAGAAGCTGTTTGCACTTAAAGGGTTTGAATGCTTGAAAATGGGTTGTTTTCAGCTGAAACTGGTCTTTGCATTCAAACAGGCAGGTAGGCAGTTCTTGTGGCCACCACAATCCCCCACAAAAAAGTCATTTAATGCTGAGAGGGAGTGCAGTGTGTGGGACTATGGTTTAGCTGCAGTGGGCTTTTTCCCTGCAGATATCCCCACATCACCTCTTGGGGATACTCAGAGCTGGTGAAGTATCACCTCTGGGGGGGAAGCAGAACACCCCATGTCTCTGCATCCCATCCCTGACTGGAGCTGAAACAGAAGGGAGGAAGGCAGCAAGTGAGCACAAAAGGAGAATGTGATCATGAAGGAAGTTAAAATTTAACCAGAGAATGATTTTGGAGGAAACCCCCTCCCTTTGCCACTTCCCCTCTCTCTGCCCAACATTACGACACCTGTGAGCTGGTCAGCTCTGCCTCAGATGTCACACTATTGCTGGAGGTAGACTTCATGCCAGGTCAGGACCGCTCCGGATTCCATCTCTATTCCAGTGCGTTCCCATCTGAGCAGTGGTTGGTAGAGGTGTTGCCACCAGAAAAATCCCAAATGGCACAGGAAGCCTCGATGTGGAACCAGAAGGCCTTGGGATGTGTGTGAGGAACTGGATCACTGGAGAGCCCTTCTAGGAGGGAAACTGCTGAGTGGACAAGAGAAGATCCCCAAGAGTCAGTGACATCAACCACATAGAAGGCTTCAGGGCCATTTTACAGGCTGGGGCATGATAACAAGTGTCACCATGATAACGATCACTGCCAACATCTATTGCTTTCTGCATGTGTTATTTCTGACAAACATTTGTGTACCAGACAAGAAAAGCAGTTGATTTCTGTGAGGAAAAAATGTGAAAGAACATTTTTTTTTGGAGATAAACCTTACAGCTGCATGCTCTGTGCACAAATCTTTGTATCTGTTCTTTTTAAGTTCCAGGTGTCTCAGTAGCTGGGGAGATCATGGGGATTCTTCTTGGGGAAGGTACCTGAGTGAGAGTCCAAGCAGTGCTTCAGTTCTTACCTCCAAGCAAAGCTCCAAAGTAGCCCTCCAAGAAGGGACATTTGCAGGTTTGGTAGGGTACTGTGCCATCCTTGGTTTCATTTGAGAGGAAGGAAGGTGTGGGCACTCTGCTGATGCCGTTGTGGTGGGGCCACGATGGAGCAGCAGCAGGAGGTGACTTGCTACAACCTTTTCTCCTGCTGTACACGTGATGAGAAAGGTCCTGCCAGCAGGTAGATCAAACACACGTTGAGTTGCACGGAAAACTTAATCTGATGGGTTTTAATTTACTGATGGGTTTTTTTCAGGCTTTCTGCAGACCGGACCATAGACACAGTTCCAAAGTTTTCTTCACTTTGAGAAGGGTCCTTTGAAGACATCTGAGACTTACTGGAAAACCTGAGGTATGTGGCTCTGGTCTGTCCTGCTTACACTTAAGCCTGGCTCTGTCTTTACAATGTGAGATACCAGATCAGGCAGTTGTCTTCGTAGTGTGCTGCTGGGGGGAGACAGCACTTGGGGAAATAGGTTTGCTTAGACTAGGAAAGAAATTGATTGTTTCCTAAAAATATATTGCTAATAGTGTAATTAGTGCTATTTAA